GTGCAAGCGCGGCAACGAGGTGGGAACCTTCCGTTGTTTGTTCCCATCGCCTTCAGCTCCGCCCTGCTGCCCCACGGCGTTCCCCGGGACTCTCCCTTCGTGCCCTCCGGCAGCAGTGGAAACGGGACTAGACTTGCTTCGCTATCCCACCACGGCCGCACAGCAACCTACGTGCTGGGCCTCCTCCGCAGCAGCTCCTGGGGCACTAGGACCCCCTCGCATTGCCTGGGTGCACGTCTGGGTCCGCACTCTTGCTGTCTCACTTTCAGCGGCCAAGGCAGCATCCCCCCAGCTCTCACCCAGCAGCCATCTTAGTGCACAAAACCTCCATCAGCAAGACACCAAGTCACCTGTTCACAGGCAGCTGTCAGGAAGATCACAGAATCAGAGAAAGCGCTGGGCTGGAAGGGACCTTTAAAGGCCACCTAGTCCAACCCCCTGCAATGACCAGACACATCTTGAACTAGATCAGGTTGCTCAGAGCAACCTGTTCCACTATTTCACGACCCCCTCATAGATGACCAACCAAAAGAGCTGCACAAATAAAGCCAGAAATTATCAATTTTGCTACCCCATAAAGACAAAAGTGTACACGTCAAATGCTGGACACTAGCCAGGCACTCTCGAAAGAGAGTAAGAAGCAGTCAAACCACTGAACAACACCTGCCAGAAATAACTAAGCAGACAAGACTTAAGTGTGAACCATGTCTGGACAAGTCAAGAAAAAAACAAAACAGAAAATTCTGTAAACCAGCACATTTTACACATTGTCTTTATTCAAAAAATTTGAATAAAACAAAGGCTTCTATGCCACAAGCACACAGGCACCACCAACTTCTTTTATCTTCTCCTCTGCTCTTCTACTGAAGAACTTTGCTTTCACAATTACAGGCTGCTTGGGCAGCTTCCCCTTGCCCAGGACTTTGTAGTAGCCCTAGAAAGATTAAAAAACCCATTAAGTTTTTGTAACCAGCTTCCAGGCTCCTACATTCAGACCTGTCTTTCAGCATTCACCACTTAAAACCAGAACCACAATCACTATGACGTTATTCGGTGTCTGTCCCCAATATAAAATTGGTAGGAATGAAAGAAAAATACCCTCTGTGACTTTAGTGGAGTTGCATTTGCTCAGAGAAAAAGCAGAAACTGTAAACTGAACTCCTGTACTTGAGAAGCCGGAATATTTTTTTTCCCTCCCATACTCCATGAACAGAAAACACTGTGAAATCTGGTAAAGAAGTCACCAACCTTTACGGACTTTTCCAAAGGAGAGCAGTGGTCTGCACTTCCAAGACTACCTACTACCCAATGCATTCTGGTTGGTGCTCGTTACTTGTAGGACACCCTGGTACTTCTGAACAGAGCAGAAGACTCTTCTGCACAGCTTAGAAGTACAATGGCAGCTTCAACAAGCTTTTGCAGCCATAGCTGTTCTCTACTACTGGAATCCTCTCATTCTGTTGCTGTCCTTTACATTAAAAGCACAATTGTGGCACAAGGTCGGTTAATACTAAAGGCATTTTAATTTGGGACGGAGAACATACCCACTTGGCAGACTAGCGTGTGTCACTGAGTCGGTGGCTGGCTGAGACACGAGACATCACAGTCAGTGAATAGACATCAGACATTTATGTCCGAGAACTATAGCACACCAAGACAACCAGACATGTGAAGATGTGACTCTAGTCTCGTTATTAAAGTGACTTTAAACCAATGAGACTAGTCCTGCCATGTTAACACACGCTTTCAGCAACACTTTAGACAAGCAATCTTTTACCACCTTTCAAAATAAGGGGAGTTCCGTCCACAATCACACACAAGTATGATAAAAAAGTTCTGGCAGAAAAAAAAAACAGCATAAGTAGCTGTGTAATTGCTTATACGTCAAGATATTTGTCCTGAGCAGCTCATAAATATTCAAGCTTATTTGCAGTTCACCATTTTCCTACTTGGACACGCATAGCTAAGCTACACGTGAATTGATCAGGAATTGCAGATTTGAATATGAGCAGAAACTTACTGAGCGCACAACATCAATGACTGGGGCCAGTCCAGCCTCGTTTTTTGCATAATTGAGCCTTGTCTGTTCGCTGACAAGTGTCCATAGTTTATCCAAATTGACAGTAGGACAGAACTTTTGGTTTCTCTTCAAGTGATAGTGCCTCATGCCTACTTTTCCAAAGTAACCAGGGTGGCTGTGAAAGAAACATATTCCTCATTAGATTATGTTTAAGCCATCCTGAACAGGCAGGACTACAAATTAACACTGAAACAAACATCTTATTTGATCAAAGTAACCAAAATGTCACATTATATTTTTATGCATATTAATAGATGTAGTATTTAAGTGTAATAGTCATTAGCATCCAAACCAAGGAAAAAATATTTTCTCTTAAATGCCCGTTTTCCCTTAAAATCACAACTCAGTCCCTCTCATTGGCCAGTCTGGCCCAGTTCTGTATTTCCAGGCAACCCCAGCTCTGTGAACGCAGGGAGGGCTGCGCTGCCTGAGGAGTTTCAGTGCTCCTGTCACTAACCTGGTGACTGACTGAGTCAAGAATGGTCACAGCCAGTGAATATAGATTAGTGGTTACTGTCCGAGTACTCTAGCACACCAGGACAACAGGAACTGTCCAGATGTGACTCTAGTCTCGGCAATAAGTAAAAGCATCCCTCACCATAAAATTGTGAATTTACATGGCATTTTGTGGGTGCTTAGTTAAGCACGGACCACATTGTAATAGGCAAGTTTGGTCAAGTCTACCAAAAGCTGCACTTTTAAAGACACCTGGCTTCAGCAAAAAGGCCTTTGATTTCATGGTAAATGAGAGCATGAGTTGACTGCAGCTATTACTGCCACACTTCACGTTACAGGAAAAAACATACAGGAATGCAGGGGGTTTTGTTTATTCACATATAAAAGTTAATTGTTCCTACTTCAGGAACACACGTTTTGCTAGTATATATTTAAAATGTTAGCTTACTATTTATCAAAGTTAATCCTGTGATGGTGCATACCACCAGCGTTACCACGTCCTCCAGGATGTTTTCTGTGCTTGCCTAAAAAAAAAAATTTAAGTTTGTTACACTAATAATATTACACATAATACTTGAGCTTAGAGGTAAGTTCAATGTCAATTTAAGCTAATTATTCTGATTCCCTCCTCCAAATTTATTTCAATTCGGTGAGATGAGCCAAGTAAAAACTAACTTTACAGGACAGAAAAATAATTGTAGCACGCCTCTGGTGAGCTTAAAGGAATAGAAGGTAACATCAGTGCTAGCACAAGTAGGATGAGAAGAAAAGGTAGGAACGGAGAGGAGTTACAAGGGCTACAGCACTGCCACACCAGCTAAAGATGACACACAACCAGCACCTACCACCTGAGCCCTACAAAAATTACAAATCCAGTAAAGTCTAAAACAACGCGCAAGACTTTGGATAAGCCCATCGCTGTGGCATCTGCCCCCACAGCGGGAGCATCACCCACACACACCGCGGCTAGCTA